AGGAAATAGTACTGCAGAGAATGAACCACCCCTCCCTTCCCAGTCCGCAGAGCCTCCATAACAGGAGAAGGAGTTCCTGAAGATGAAGAGAACAAGACACACGACGACTCAAAGTAACAACAGATCACAAGGAACTACTTTTGAAGTGCTTTTCATGGCTTGTATTGACTAGTCAGGACAGCTCACCTAGCCTACTACCTGTATGAAAGACAGCCATAAATACTTAAAAAAAAAACACTGTGTAATATAATAAAATGACATCACATACCAGCATCTGAGGACATCATGAGACTCTTATAGAAGAACCAGTGCCATGGTGTGAGAGGAACCACTGCAACAGATGGTGAAGATGTCAACGCTCACAGTAAAGGAGAGTTGGGAGAAGGTGGACCTGATGTACATCTCCATCGAGAGCACTATCGCTCTGGCGTCGGTGCTTGGGAACGTGCTGGTGGTCCTGGTGGTTTGCATGAACCAGGCTCTCAGAGACCCGACTTTCTGTTTTATTGTTTCTCTGGCACTGGCCGATATCGCGGTCGGCGTTCTTGTCATTCCACTGGCGGTGGTCCTCAGTTTGGGTCTCAACACGCTGTTTTACAACTGCCTCTTCATTTCCTGCCTCCTCCTCATCATCACCCAAAGCTCCATATTGTCCCTGCTGGCCATCGCCATCGACCGCTTCCTACGCGTCAAAATCCCCACCAGGTGAGTCTGAAACACTGAATAAATATGAAATATTTTCTGTTTAGTTGCATGTCGTGTGACCATTACCTGACATCAGATATCAGTGAACATGCAAACGTATTGTTAAATTATTTGTAAAATGTCAGGGTTTACGTTTGTGGGTCTTTCTTAGGGTGATGCACCAGAATTAACAGAAATGTGTTTACCATGTTTTGTAACTAAAGTGAAAAATTTCTAGCAAATTTCACAATCACACACAAAAAAAACAGCAAGTAACACACTGAATTAAACGTAAATTTTTAGTACAAAGGTTGCAATAATATTTTCTTGTAAAGCATACTTCAATCAAATATTATTATTATTTTTTTTTACAAACTTATGTCTATTAGTGCAAAATGATTAGTACTGCTGAAGTGAAACAGAAAGAAAAATTGCAAATGACAAATTTTATGTTAGTTTACTGATTTTAGATATCTAGGACATCACGACTGAGTCCACCAAAAAACAACTCTTTTTTTGGACGCATAAAAAAATGCTGAAGCATTTTGCAAACTTAGTTGCAATGAAATAACTTTTAAAATGACGTTTGCATGACACAAAGCAGTCATTTAATACATAGCATTGAGTAGCTTATTGCTTTCATGCAATAGGATTGTGATTAAAAAACAGTAATGTATAATAAATGGTTTCATTTAATAATAATTGTTCACCAAGCTATTTAGCTTTGAGAATGGCTCATCAAAACAGAAGTTATAGCTATTGGTTTTTATACATTCGTATTTGTCCGATAGAGATAACTCTTTAATGCATCAGCTTTGTTTTATCATATTGGCCAGACAGCAATATATCTGTTGCTTTCTTTAATGCAAATCAATAGGCTGGTGTAATGCAAGGCTTTTAACTAAATGAAACCCCTGCTGTCTGTCAAAGCGAATGATGTTCACTGGTTTGATAGTATTTTGGCAGCGTCCCTAACCACTCATTTGCTTGATGTTTGAAGTCATGTGACTTAAACTGCTTATGTAACACATTTGGTGGGGAATGGTGAATTGAATATATTCAAATATTTTAAAATCCATAATTTATATCTTATAAATAAAGAGATTTAGAAAATGTACTGCCTAAGGAAATTATCATGCATTGACGAATTTGCATTTATTAAAGGTGCTGTATGTAATTTTTTTAACTGTACCAAAGCATAAAACGCTATCATACAGTATATTCACCTATATTTAGGAAACATGCTAAGTTAACATACTTGTTTCTCTGAAAAACAATGCTACAGCCAGTTATTCTACTTTGAAAACATGCATTCCATGTCGGAATGGCTGTTTTTGTTTTGGTCTGTGTGACTCCGCCCACAGACCATTTAACCAATAGTATTTTGACACACTGGGTTGCCAGAGAGCAGACAAAACAGCCTGTTGCAGCCATGGAAGCCAACAAACAAACTGGGTCAGAGATCGCAGATTCTAACTGACCTAAAAAGCCTCCACATCCATCTAAAAATCTCTATGGCCAGAGGATTATTAAAATACGGATATATCGACTCATCAGCTTACAGTGTAAGGCTTGTCGCCTTCCATTGGTAATTGTGCTCAATTACAAATACCTTTTTAAAACAGTGGACAGGCGAGTCTTCAGGAAACCTGTTTGAAAACAATCATGATTGCAGAATTACACACACAGACCAGTAAGCATCTACCTAGCAACCACCTCTCAAAAAACTCTCAAAACACCTTAGCAACTACAGAGCAACACCCTGGCAACCCACAGCTTTAAAGTCTGGATGTTTTCCCATTATTGTTAAAGATGATTCTTTAGATTTCATGACTGAGAATAATCCTTTTTTCAATATTTTTAATTACCTTTAAAAAGCTTAATATTCCTAAATATAAGCTTCATTTTCTTTGTTCAACTTACACACTTATTTTTACCTGTACAGTACATGCGTTAAACAGTTTGTGTATTACAATAAAAATACCAATAGATTTAGCTAACAAACTATGATTACAGCAAATTCACATAACACACAGCCTAACTGAAATGTAAAGTTAGATACTGTATATTTATAATAGTAAAGATACAGTAAGAATTTGCATTTAATATGGCCTGCATGGCTGTGCCATTTTTCCAATAAACTGTATGCAAACTGGTAAAGCATCAAGGTAAATATGAAAATTAATTTAGGATAATGTGATTCACAGGTGTATCATCAAAATACATCATGATCACACACATTTACTGAGATCTACACATGTTGGTATGGGTTAGGGTTAGAGATATATAATCCCTCTAGTGCAGTGTTGCCAATTTAGCAATTTTGTTGCTAAATTTAGCAACTTTTCAGACTACCCTAGCAACGTTTTCTTCCAAAAGCACCTAGCAACAAATTTAGCTATTTTTAAAAATGTATTTGGCAGCTTTTAGCAACTTTTGATAAGTGACTCAAATGATAAAAAGGCACAATTTACCATTCAAATTACACAAAAAGAGGAAACCAAAGATGCCTAGCAGTACACACGTTACAGGAATTAAGTTAGCTGCTATTTGCAATTGTTTAATATTAATAATAATTGCATACTGTTATTTTTGATTTATGAGACACTTTGTTAGTAGCTTGTACCTGCGATTGTTGATGAGTTACACTGTTTCTTACAGTACACTGTAAGAAAAATATGCAGAAAAATGGAAAAGGTGCTACTAATTTTCCAGGACATTATCCGTTGTCCGTTGCAACCCGAAAACACAAAATACAATGCATAATTCAAGGGTGCCCACACTCGGTCCTGGAGGGCCGGTGTCCTACAGAGTTTTGCTCCAACCCTAATCAAACACACCTGAAGCAGCTAATCAAGCTCTTAGTAGCCATACTAGAAACTTCCAGGCAGGTGTGTTGAGGCAAGCTGGAGCTAAACTCTGCAGGACACCGGCCCTCCAGGACCGAGTTTGGACACCCCTGGCGTAATTAAAAATCCAGGTACAAAAACCTGTGGAAAAATCAATCCAGAAAATTCCTTCATATTAACAGTAGATTGTGCATGATTTTTTTTACTTTTCTTAAGAGTGCGGCATACTAACTACTAATAAACTGCTTTAAAGTATAAAACTTAAATTGTAATCGTTCAAAAATGTGTACGTTTTCGATAATTCAATGGATTTAAAAAGAGTTATTTATATTTTAATATTATATTATGCATTTATATTGCTACGAACAAATCTAAATTAACATACAGTATATAAAATATATATGTTTTTGCTGAGATTTGACACAATTTTGCATGTGATTACGTAATGACGTCATCACAACATCATTTAGCAACAAATCAATCTTCCTTTAGCAACTTCCCCTGAAAATGAGTTGGCAACACTGCTCTAGTGTACTAGAAGGGTCAAAGGTTTAAGTTCTCAGGCTCAGCATGTCTTGTTTGTCATGCAGGTGACAAACCAACTGATTGACCGCAGTGTGACTGCTAATTCCAGAGATAAGCGAAACAAGAGGAAGCCCTGGTCAGATGTGAGATATGTTGCAGGCACTGACCGCAAATTATGATGAAGAAGTGACCGATAGACAATAACTGTGAACTTTCACCATGACAGTAAGTAAACGGGAGGAAAAACCTATAAAAATAAACCACAATGTTACTGGCAAGAACACAACAGGGCCAGTGTATCTTTATGTTAGCTTGACAAATTTATAAAATGATGACTATATATACAAATTGACTATAAACAGCCTAGCAACCACTCAGAACACCCTAGAAACCACCTAGCTACTTCTTACCAACCACGCAGCTCACACAATGTTTAAAAGCAGCATAGTAGCAACAACCCCAAACACCTAAGCAACAACCTAGCAACCACTCTTAACACCTTAACAACTGCTTTCCACCAACACAGGTATGTACATTTCAACTTATATTAACTTTTCAACTTTCTGACAAGGCTTTTCAAGGTAAAATTAATTTTTTTTTCTCTTCTCAAATTTTAAATAATATCGAATTATGACACTGAATTCTAAAAGAAGGCCCTATATTATGTTCCACAGCCTATGAAATTATAAAACATGTGAAGCTGGTGAGTGAAATAAGATGAAATCGAATAACAATATCAAGTCATGGCATACATTAAATCTCAAGGTACTACTAACACCTTAATAAAAATGTAATAATTTGTCCAGTTATTTCAGTCGAAGAGTAAGAGCGAGATTATCGGCTTTGAGGTGATCGGTGAAGCTTGAAGTGTCGAATCTGCGGCGCGCGACACACAGATGATGACGGCACGCTGCATCCGGTTGAAAATAATATTATAAGTTGGTCTGCCAACCGCCATTAATACCAGAAGAAGAAGAAGAAAATAATAATATTATTTAGCCTTAAGATAAAGCGTCACCTATCCATAATCTCGATCTGCCACCGACCTCAGGATCACACTACGGATGTGTCTTATTCGGGGTTCGTGTTTTCACAGCATTATAATACTCACAGACGGATGTCAACAAAGTCGCTGGTTAGCTAGCGAAGGCTAACAAACAGCCTGTTCGTATTTTTTCTGTTGTATTTTAGATTTATATGTGTGTTTACCTGTATAAAATGACATCACGTTGACATTTGTTTATATATTTGTAAAATACTAAAGATAACACATTACTTGTCTTGACTTTAGCATGTGTGAATGCTAATTAGTGCGTATGTTGTCTAATAATACTGAACAGCGATAGTTATTTAGTTTCACTAAAATTGATTTCGCCTTATCTGGGTTGGTATACTTAGCTTATCTACGTTTTCGTGGTTAATAACAAATAATGCACATGTACCAAGGCATTCCTAGAAGTACCATGGTACTTTGAGATAAGTTACCATGGTATTTTCATGGTACTCCTGCTGGTGGAGTGACGAACAAACTGAACCCTCTTATTATTTTGTCATTGCCAGGTTGAGACTCAAATCTTGGGGCTCCTGTTAACCTTCCCATCAAGCCGGTTTGGGGACGTGTGTTTGTCCCCCTCATCTCCTGCGAGATGGCCAGTCATTTCCGCAGCTACGTCTGGGATCCGATCCTCATCATCTCCCAGATTATTCTCATGCAGTGCATCTACTACAGCTTCTTGGGTCTGTGGTTGGCTGGTGTTGATGGATTGGTCCATACCAGCAGATCACTCGACCAGATATTCAGTTACGAGGTAAGTAGCTGTCCAAATAGGGTTCAGAATAAAGATGATTAAAATCGGTCTTGTCAACCTAGACCAGGGGTGCCCACACTCGGTCCTGGAGGGCCGGTGTCCTGCAGAGTTTAGCTCCAATCCTAATTAAACCCACCTGAACCAGCTAATCAAGCTCATACTAGGCATAGAAACTTCCAGGCAGGTGTGTTGAGGCAAGTTGGAGCTAAACTCTGCAGGACACCGGCCCTCCAGGACCGAGTTTGGACAGCCCTGACCTAGACTTACAAATAACTAGTTTACTTTCTGTCAAGGTTCTTGGCTTTTCAACAACACAGGGTTGCTTGTCTATGATGGCATTCATTCTGAATTCTCTCACGTGGTAAGTTTATATTAATGGCATCTTATTCCAATAATTTATCTCACATTTGTCTGCCATCTGAAGTCATTGTTGGCTCTGTGTCTCTTTCTCAGCGCTCTTGGCCTGTGGTTTTTCATCCGACGGGGAAAGCAGTGTCTGGACTTCACCGTGACCGTACATTTCTTTCACATGATCGGCTGCTGGATCTATAACGCCCATCTCCCAGCCGCCCTGTCATGGTGGTTGGTCAACGTGGCCTGCATGGCCCTCATGGCGGTCATAGGCGAGTACTTGTGCATGCGGACAGAGCTCAGAGCCATCCCTGTCAACACGGCACCCAAATCCAACCTATGAGGACTGTTTAGAGACAGATGTGCAACAGCTGGTGTGTACGAGTCGAGGTCACGCATCGGCAGGACTGGCCTGCTGACTAATGCTGCGGTGGTTTTCTGGGAGGATGAGCAGAAGTGACTTGGTTGTTCTGGATGACGTTGAGATGTGCCACATGGGTTTCATGCTGCATCGCATGATGATCCTGCGACTTCCCTCAATCAGCATCATGGCGGCATTCGCATCATTTCAAAAAGACTATTGTAATTATTCTTATTTAGGACCAATTCGTCATCATTCATGGATGGCTACTGAAAATATGACAGTGATGGTCTCTTTTAAAAGTACAGAAAGCATCATGTCTTATGTGTAAATCTTTATCTAAATAAAATGCAATGTAATTCTGAATACTTGGATAATGGTTCCTATTGCTTTGGAAAGAATTGTGGATTTCATGTTTTATCAAGTCATTCTTTTACAATTACCAATGGCAGTATTTCATTGACTTCAAATGTAGTTTATTAAATGAGTTTAAGTCAACATGAAATCAAAGCGGACCCTGTTTGATTTCTTGATGCATGTTAATGTTATTGAGCATGTTATTCCAAAGCACAAAGTTAAAAGTTACTGCCTACTAAGGTTTTTCCGTCAGTGAATGTCCTATTTCTCTCAGAAATCTCACATTAAGGAAGTAAAATGGGTCGCAATTAATGTCTCATGTTTACTTTAATGTATTTTGCGTTCGATTATGACCCACATGCCTGTCAGATACAATCATTATCTCAAGATACTCGAGTAATTGAGTGATATATGAATCTAAAACTTCATATAACTTCTGAAGTTATATGAGGCAAGTGAAATCAACTAGATTTTTTCACTTTCTCTGCAATAAATCAGACACTGCAATATCTGTGTTACTCTATGATCTCAGGTTTTCAAAAGTGTGAGCTTTGACTTCCTAAAAAGTATATTTTCTATTAATCTCGCAACATCCTGTTTCTAAAACGCGTTCAGACCACATAATACTGACTACTAAAAATAAAACACTATAGAAAGGCTTAATTTGAACAATCATGATCCAGGCTCAACATATAAGATGCGAAAGGTGATGCAAACCTGTTCGTCATTGTGCTGTGTTGCAGGCCCTTTATTAATGGTTTTGCTTTTGGTGGGACTTTTTTAGCTTTGAATGACTGAACAACATGAAATATTAAAGCTGCATGGTTTCTCACACGTGTGGAATAAAACCTATTGCTTTAAGATATTATTTTCTCAAATGTTTTGCCAGAATTAAACTATATTCTGCAAAGTGACGTATTTGTATTTGTATAAATAAGTATTAATAGTTATCCTTAAAAGGTAAACAATAGACGGTCAAGAAAATGTCGGGGTAATATTTCCCTGAAAAAAAAAAAAAAAAGTTTTTGCATAAGGACGATTAAGCCTTTTCAGGACCGAAGCAAATTAATGTGATTTTCATTATTCTTGATGAGCGATTTTTTGTTATAAACAAATATTAATACAGTAAGCAAATACTACCATGATGTACTTAAGCTATACATATTTCAGATTTTTTTTTCTCATTGCATTAATGAGAATTAATCAAGGTCAGCTCTTTATCGTCATTGTACAGGTATGAGAATGCTTTATACTTCAGGAGGCATTCAACTTAAATATGTTAGAGGAAATGTGCTTAACTGTCACCATAATGAATGAAAACACAAATGTGTTTTGATTTTGGGGTCAGACTCATATATATATATATATATATATATATATATATAAACGGGCAGATTCCCTCCGAAACACGAGGTGGCGCCAGTGCGCATGCGCGCTCGCTTCAAACCCAAACAAAGACGTAAAAGGATTCTCATCTTCCACTTCCGGTGGTGTTCGCCCCGCGCTGTTCCGCTGCGAAGATGCCGAAGTGAGTCTCTCTTTATGTTCATTTTGTACAGTTATGCGATATATATACAGACCAAACTGACACACTTTAGTCGTGAAAGATTAAGTACCGTATCTGTCATACATGTAGGAATTGTAAAAACCACACTGCAAATACAACCGCGTTTCTCAAGACAAGAGCTAGCTCTTTAAGCTAAGACAGCATTTAATTAGCTTATTAAATGTTTAATTTAGGGTGCTAGAGATTCTATATATATATATATATATATAAACGGGCAGATTCCCTCCGAAACACGAGGTGGCGCCAGTGCGCATGCGCGCTCGCTTCAAACCCAAACAAAGACGTAAAAGGATTCTCATCTTCCACTTCCGGTGGTGTTCGCCCCGCGCTGTTCCGCTGCGAAGATGCCGAAGTGAGTCTCTCTTTATGTTCATTTTGTACAGTTATGCGATATATACAGACCAAACTGACACACTTTAGTCGTGAAAGATTAAGTACCGTATCTGTCATACATGTAGGAATTGTAAAAACCACACTGCAAATACAACCGCGTTTCTCAAGACAAGAGCTAGCTCTTTAAGCTAAGCCAGCATTTAATTAGCTTATTAAATGTTTAATTTAGGGTGCTAGAGATTAATTTAGTGTATATACAGATTCACTTGTTTAAATAACGTTTTTGCTGCAGGAAACTGTTTTTAATTATAAGAACAAAACGCAAGAATAAATGAATAACGTTACTATGATTGCTATGGTAAAACTATGCTATTGATATGTTCCAAATGATTTCTAGAAGACTGGTACAAAATCATGGTACTTTGTTAGTTCTATGGTATTTATCATAAGTACCATCACTGTGCTGTAGCACCTCTATGGTATATTAATTAAGGGTGGGCTGTTTTTGTCTCTTTCAGGTTTTATTGTGATTATTGTGACACATACCTGACACACGATTCGGTAAGATTACTTAAACGTTTTCTATAATCTGATCTTAATCTAAGCTGTGTAACATGACATTAGTATCTGTGGAAATGTGCATTGTTTGTGTGTTTAATCTCTGCAGCCGTCAGTCAGAAAGACACACTGCAGCGGACGGAAACATAAAGAAAATGTGAAAGATTATTATCAGAAATGGATGGAGGAGCAGGCTCAGAATCTCATCGACAAAACAAGTGAGTGACCAGGATGCTCTTCCATGTTTACAAAGACCCTGATGGATGTATGGAGGTCTGTTTTTGCCTCGTAGTAAAAAAAAAAAAGTAGGTTAATTGATGACAAATGTAGTAATAAAGGTAACTGTGGCCTTTTCTTCACAATTCAGAATTCAAAGTCGTCAGAATTGCAAGATATACTTTTTATTCTATAATTCGGACTTTGTTTCTCACAATTCTGAGAAAAAGTTCAAATTGAGAGATGTGACCTTAGAATTTTGAGGAAAGAATTCTTAGCATATCCTGCAATTCGTACTTTTATATCAGAATCGCAAGGGAGAGTCACAAATTGTGAAGAAATGTCACAATTACCTATTTTGTAGTGGATACGGGCTTCCATAGATCTATACTTAATATGCATACTTGATCTAAACTGACTTGACATATTTCTTGATCTATTATGAGATGAGTGTTCCAGTGTGAAGTCGTTTTTATCTGTGTTTCAGCGGCCGCTTTCCAGCAGGGTAAAATCCCACCCACCCCGTTCCCAGGAGCCCCTCCACCTGGCGGATCTCTGCTACCGCATCCAAATATTAGTACGTTTCGGAGATCTGAAATGTTCACTCCCTTTGGCAGTTACAAAGCTTGTGAACAATTTCTGTGTGTACTCTGACTACAGAAAAAAGCATAGGTTTTTCATGCACTGCTCTTTTGAGATGTTTTGCTTCTATAACATGTCATCTTTCAGACTAGTGGAAAGAAAACATCCAAAATACACATTTATGTATGTATTTATTTACAGATTTCTATTTTTCTATAGCTTTCAATTACAGTGCACATTTTTTAAAGACTGTTGTCTCAAAATGAGTTTTCATCTCACTTACATAAACTTTACAGTTTTATTCATATCCATATCGATTATTTTTTATTTATTTTTTTTAAACCAAGGGGTTCGTTCTTATATAATTAACCTGATTTATAAAACATCTATTCCTAAAAACATGGTGATTTTTCAGTATTTTCTTGTTTTTATTTTATAAAAAAATATCCTTAATCTGAACAAAATGAAGCAAGAATTTTGAACCTGACTTCATTCGGTGTTCAGATTTCTGGACTGGACTTTTAGCTAATGCTTTATTTGCATATTTAGACTTTACAATTTCCAAACGTTTCTGAATGTACTGACATTAATCAGTTTGGGAGTATGGTGATATCAAATCAATTTATTTATTTTTTTACCCTGTTCACCTGCAATGTCTTGCCTTAACATAATATTAACACATTTAAATTCAAAAATTGTGTATGCTGCATAAAATTGTATTATTTAGGTATTTCCATTATATCGGTCACCCTGCTTTCTAGCAGTCAGTCATAGAGAAACCATATTGGTCAACCAATAAATTAAGATTTTATTTGAATGAATTGATACAATTATTTTATTAACATAATTTACAAGGAATAACATGTTTTTTTTCTTGCAGGTGGACCTCCGAGACCGGGCATGTTACCAGCTCCACCCATGGGTGGTCCTCCTATGATCCCTATGATGGGTCCCCCTCCTCATGGCATGATGCCTGGAGGACCAGGTAATGCTGTTTAGTTAATGTGAGGGATTTTTTATTAATGGCAATCTGAATTGATCATCTTAATCATCTGGCCCTCTTTCAGGTCCAGGTATGCGGCCACCGATGGGCGGACCTATGCAAATGATGCCCGGGCCACACATGATGCGACCTCCCATTCGGCCAATGATGCCGGCCATTAGACCCGGGATGGTGCGACCTGATCGATAAAGTCACCATGCCATGATTACTAACCCGATATCCACAAAAGACTCAGCCAAATATCCACACTGGTTTTATTGCCTATTTGCATTTTATGACGTCTGCGATTCAGAAAACGTTGGTTCGCTCGAGTGACTCGGATTACCACAAATTCTTGTAAAATTGAATGAACCTTCCATTGGCTTTCATTTCATATTTATGACAGACCAGAAGGTGTTGCGTAAGAGGTTTGTGTATGATGTGCATTTATTACGTTGATGGATGTTTTAGTTATTTACTGTTGAGTTGATTTTCAGCTTTTTGTTTTTCCATGTATTTTGAGAAAATAAAATGAAAAACTTGAACATCTGGCATGTTTTCATTTGGTCTGCTTGCATAACATTTTAATAGAAACACAGTCAGTAATACACATCTTGATTACGCTACTCACAATAACATAATCAAAGCCAGAATATAGAATATGCTCAAATCAAATCGAATGCAATTCAAACACAAGACAAAAACATAGAGCAAAAAAGTCTATTGAATTTATTAGTTCAATGGCATTGAGAGAGTATAATGATTGTTCTTTAAGTAAATGGAACGAACATACAGAGTAGTATGAACATTCAGGACAAAAAGTACATGTATTAGACATCTTTTAATCGTAGTTACTTTACCTTCTACATAGGCCAACGGTGGTATTTTATCTTGTGTTGTCAAGTGCAAGCATTCTGCCCTGATCCTGGTATGTTTCTGACATCCTCATACTCTTCCCAACCAGGAAGAAAAGAGGATACTAACGTAATTGGTGTTAAATTGTTTATCAATATTTGCTCCAATTATGTGAAGTTCAAAAGAAATTCAAGTGAATTCAAAGAGGAAGCGAGGGACAAGTGTTGCCTGAGGGGTTTGCAGTTTTTTCCTTTTCTGTAAATCATTCTGTTCCACTGCAGCATATATGCCCATTTTTTTCCATTAAGTCAAAGAATCTGCTAACTATAAAAAATAAAACACTCGTTGTGATGCTAGACAGCTAGGCTTTGTGATAGGTGGCAATAAAGTGACATTTAATTCAGCTCTTTGTTTTCATATAGCAAATTAATAGCCTAAATATGCTACATATTTGCTTTTTCACAGTAAGATCATTGCATCAACCATTGATTCGATTTCAATTCAGCTGGATTCTTCACATACAGGTAAAAATATTTTTGCTGATTTACATGAAAGTACTTCTTCTCAACCGCAACGTTTCCATCTCAGGTCCACAGTTTGGACCCATTTTGTTTAAAATGCCACAAATCTTCAACCAGCAGTTCTATAATGTACACAGAGTCCAAAAAGATCAAAACTCTTGTTCTGCATTATTTTTAGGTATATTCTGCTAACGTCACTCGCAAAGTCCTTCTCCGTATGAAAATAAACCACAGTTTAAGAGGAAACATTGAAAACTAAAACGTTCACACAGTGCTCAGGAAAGAGAAGTCCAGTTTTCCAGAGATTCCACAAAGTTCTGCTTGCTTTTCAAAGACATAAATGAGTGAATCTCACGAAAAACTTGAGAAATGTTCACATTTCACCCCTAAAATCAAAATAAGAAGCAAATAAAACCTACTTTTAGGACCACGCATTGACATATTTGCCCCAAAATGCTGAGAAAATGATATAGAGTACAAGTATACATCTTGGTTGTACTGCATTTAATTTATGCTGATTTTAATACAGTAATTATTATGATTTCTTCCCACATTACAGAATTTCCAGGAAAAATATGTCTAGAAAATAATGCCACATCGCAAACAATCTTGATAGTCCTGAGAATAGGATTAATTTGCTTTATGCAAAAATCTTGCTTTTGATTTTGGTGTGAAATATGACATTGCTTTGTGAGATTCATTCAAATTGAATATCATGCAGATTCATGTTTTTAATATTTGATGTGTTATGTCCATTTCCACATCACCAGCGAATCAGATCATTGGCTGAGTAATGTTCGTATTCAAGTTTATTTTTGTAGTAGGAGCAACTTTGGATAATCCGTTTGGTACTGCAGTTAAGTGCTAATTTTGCATTTCTCTTTCATACTCACTCAATTTCTTCCTCATTTGGACTCACACATAAAGTTTCACCTGAGTCCCCTTCAATTCACACCTTGGTGTCCGGAAACTTGAAAGGTGGAGTCAGCTACACAAGGAAAAATATATTGGAATTCAGAAATGGGAATGCTCTAAAATCCCAATCAAGTTGTCAGAGCCCAGACAGGACTGCTAATTAAATTGGAAATATTACAAATGTGACACAGCATTTCAGAAAAGTGTCAAAAATACACAAAACTCGCATTACAGGATGTGATGTCACGAGTGAAATGAATCTTGAGTTAGCCTCTTTGGCAATTTTGAGTTAGGAAATGGGACAAAACAATGGCAAACGATGGTTGTTAATGAGTGAGGATGATTGTGATGTCTGGAAGTTGAGGATGTGCAACACAGTCACAAAGAAATTACCACAACTTTAACAGATAACTCCATAAAACCGGACATGAGAGACAAACAGTGCAGTTCAGAAGTGAGTAACTTAACAGCCATCAAGAATCAAATTAAAGCGAACAGTCCTTTCCACACGATAAAAAAACAGCCATGTTCACACTGCAACGTTTTGGAAACAACAACAGCATTTAAATGAGAAATTAATCATCTGAATCATCATTTTGTATGTGTACGAAACACAGGAGTCTTTCTTGAACGCAAAGTGGCTGACACAGAGACTCGTATCAGATTTGTGAAAGTGTCACCATAGCAACAGCGGTTATAAACGCTGATCTATATGATATATATATATATAATATCATATAATGTTCTCTATTATAGATCAGTGGTTATAAACCACAAACACTGACGCCGTTATTTTTGACTAAAGAAATATTAGAGACCCAAAAATGAAAATTCTGTCGACATTTACTCATTCTCAAGTTGTTCCAAACTTGTATGCGTTTCTTTTTTTCTGTTGAGCATAATATATATTTTGAAGAATGTTAGCAACCAAACAGTTTACGGTAGCCATTGACTTCCATTGTATATTTTTTCCATACTGTGGAAGTCACTGCCTAGTGCCTACTAGCAACAAAATATCTTCTTTTGTGTTCAACAGAAGAAAGAAAATCATACAGGTTTGGAACAACTTGAGAGTGAATGATGACAGAATTTTCATTTTTGTGTGAACTGTCCCATTAAATGTTCCGTGAGTGAATTTGGTTTAAAAATGTAGTTGTTAGGCTACTCCTTTAAAACTGTGAGTGAAAAAAAAATCTAATTTAGCCGCAGTGTGAACGTGGAACATGAAACAAGACAAAACATAAAACGTCAAGAATGTAAAATCGACTTGTGCCATTTAGCCAAAGTAAAACAGCAGATTTCTAGCATCTAATACACTGAAATATATATATATTTTGTGTGCGAATAAACAAAGTGGTGCAAACTTACAGTGGTTTTCCAAATGTTCAGTACATTGTCACAATATGCATAAGGCTGTTTGGAGCTTCTTCTTTTCTTTTCTTTTTTATTTACCTCTAGCCTTAGTGCTTTTTCTTTTCTTGGCTACATTATCTTCTCTCTAAAGATAATTGTGGGACCGTGGGAATTCTTTTGCAACTGAATATAGTAACATTTACCATTATTATGTCTACAAAAATATTCTGTCTCATTTTTCTGCAAATGACTTTATAGTGGAAATCTAAGAGGTAACTAATTTTACAGAACAAATCATCAATCACAAAATGAACATAGAGGTTATACACACACTTGCTATGTGATGTTAACAATGTAAAGTTACAAATATAGAACTTTATGAAACCAAATGGATTCCCTTATTAGATAAAAAGTCAATGAAATTGGAATGGGAATGTTGTCTTGGTTATTCCATTTTCTTGGGGCTGTATTCTACTCTTCCCAGTAAAACTGTATTGCATTTCAAATCCCAACCTTTAAATGCTCTAAACAGGCATAGTGTCTTTCTTCCGAGGGCCTCAGAGTTGCAGATGCCTGGTAAGACAAAAGGAAGCACTGGATGTGAACCGAGATGACAGACCCAACTCTTTTGAAAAACTGAAGAACTGCGGTGGGGGGAGGGGGGGTCCAACTACAGGGAAAGAAAAAAAGTGAGCTACAGGGTTGGAGGAGCGCCGATGGGAAACTGCGTTATGTTGCCTTCATGACCGTGAATGTACGTAAACTTCGAAAAACAGTTCTAGTATTGCTGTTGCAGTCAGAGAGCTCGTGGATTTACTCATTTCTAATAAAGTTCCGTCAACATGTCCATCTGGATGAGGAGATGTAGAAATGCTACAAGTGTCGGTGCGTCAAGTTCTGAGGTTTTCTGATAGAGAACCCTCTGATACGAGGGACCGAACCGTAAACATTCAGCATAATGTATAAAATAGGGAAGCTTTCAGAGGCGATTTCAGACCATGACGGAAGAGTTTGAGGAGGCTGGTCATACGGCAAATCCAGGGATTCCAGAAAGCGTTCATCGGTCAAGACAACAAAAAGGAAGGTGGAGACGTACGGCTCTCCAAAAAGAACAATGCAGGCAAGGGCAGGGGTCGGGACTGGAGTGGGAAGTAGTCTTGCCCTGAGGGAGGCTACAAATCACAGTGAGAAGGCACGGGGCACTCGAGTTTATGGGGCGTGGGGTTGAAATGGGGCAGCAGGCGGGATTGGACAAGGGCCGTGCCCCGTTTTTTCCTTTTGACTCTGGAGTGAAATATCATCTGGACAGGTATGTTCTTGACAGGGTTTGTGAGATTCGTTTAAGCAAACCTGATTCTGTTGACATATCGAGCACATCCTCAGGCCAAAACAAAAATTTGCCAATAACACAACATATGCTCATCCTTGAATTTTGTACATGATTGCAGCCTTTAAACTTCAAACCATTTTACTTACACCACAATTTAAAGTTGTGACCTGTTGCTAGTGTCAACCAAAAATGTATATGGGGGAGGGAAAAATAGGTGGATAACAGTGAAAACGTAAGAGGAAAATTAGTAAAGTGAATAAGTGGCAGGGAAGAGAAAGCCAGAGACGTAGCAGGAAGAAGAGTGCTGGAGAATGTGAGGAAGAGAGAGAGAGAGCAGAACCTGAACTCCAGGGCTGATAGAGGGCAGCGGGAGGTAGGAGGGGCGGTGGGCGGAGCACGTGTGACAGTAACAGCAGCAGCATTCAAGCACAGGTGCACCCTGGGAAGGAGGACCAGGCAGAAGCACAGAGACACAGATTACAGGCTTACACCAACAAAATAAAGACATATAAGACGTGAAAAATACACTGGGACTGGAGGTGACACCTCTTTGACACAATTAAACCTGTTCCGTGGATCATGTTGGTCATTCCTACAATGCAGTACATTTTTACCCCACCATCATATATGTCTTAATAAAATAATTCACATTTTTAAAGATGGATATCATATGATCCTTTATCACAATTGAACATGAAGGGGAATTTTAAATGGTTTCACTACCTGTTTTTCATCCTACACTTCTAACATAAAAAACATATTCAAAACTATTCTTGGTGTTTCTTCATTTTTTTTAACAGTACAATAAATTGATACTGTAAATGCTACTTTTCTACAAACTGTGGGAGAACAGTTTTCTGAAGTAATCCAAAATATGTGAACACAATATATTCATGATACTATGATATCACATATCATGTGCTGAAGTCATACTCACGGTGGAACGGCGCATACTGTTGCGGGACTGCGAGGTGGGCCTGTTGGTCTTGGGTTCTATGTTTTCGGCGGCTGGACCAGCATATGAACTGTGACGGCGGGCCTTCTGTGCCTGGAGAGCCATCTGATATGCTACCTCAAACGCCTGTCCCAGCGTCAGGATGATCTCATAGGTCTGTGTCTGTACGGGGAACAGCCATTAGCTGAGTCATTACATAACATGTGTGTTCACTTTCAGTAAGGCTATAAAAAGTGGCAGAGAAAACTATATTGGACCTTGACAGTCAAACTGCAACCTGTAAGTGTTACTCATTTTCAAATGTCAAGAGGACAGCCAATCACAACAGAGCTCATTTACATAAAGGAGTACACTGTTCAATTATAAGGGTCAGAGAGATGGGCAAAAAATTCAAATAAATTAAAAATTAAATTAAAATCCTGTGAAGATTCCATGTCGGAAACAAATGATACATTTAAAAAAACGACTTGTGGATTATTTAGATGTTTTTATCAGCTGTTTGAACTCTCATTCTGACGGCACCCATTCACTGCAGGGGATCCATTTGTGAGCAAGAGATGTAATGCTAAATTCTCAAAATCTGTTCCCATGAAGAAACAAACTCCTCTTGGATGGCCTGAGTATGCGTGAATCAAAATATATATATATTTACGGGTGAACTATTCCTTTTAAAATACTGCATCTTTATGTTGTTAATTCAGATGCAATCCATTCCTATTGTGAAGTGTATAAACTGACAAATCCTCAAAGAAAAGACTTACTCTAGCCTCATAAACGCAGGACTCGGTGATGAGTTTATCAGGGTGATGGTGCCAGGTGGAGACTGTGGTATATGTGGCAGAGTGGCTGGAAGGGCGAATACTTGGGCGTGAATGTCGATCTGCATGACGGTCCTAACAGAAAACAACAAGTGCAACATGAGTCAAGGTCACACCAACTAAAAAAAGACACACTGTATATTTATATTCAAAGTAGAGTTATATTTAATGGAGCATTAATTGCAGCATTTTACTATTGTTTCTCCATTCATTTAAAAACATAATGAGTTTCAATTATTCTAAAAAATTATTTATGAATTATGAATTATTCATGATCTGTGGTGTTCAGACGTGTTACTGTGCCCCGTGGTAACAGACATCAGCATTCAAGAATGTACAAGAATGAATTCTTCACAAAGACCTCATAACCATTTTAACTCATTTGTTAGAGAGCATGTGCAAGCAAAAATAAATAGTAACATTAAACAATAAATAGTGAACATTACTAAATATGTTTCATGAAAAATTCACTTTTAGTATTAAAAATAGCACAGACACCACAAAACCTGATCTGAAATTCTTTTGAATTATAAACAAATATAACAAAAATACAAAAGCTTCTTCAAAGAGAAAAGAGCTCTTATTGATTTTTTGTTTGTAAAAATTAACAATAAAAATATATTAAATAATAAGCAAACAGTACTTTTAATTTACTGTTACTTAGGTCCAAAAAAAGTAAAATTTTAATTAATTTGGTTAAAATGTCAATGCTCCCAAGTAAAAAAAGAATATTATTTTTTATTAATTACTTTAATATTTAAATAAACATAAATATAATTGTTTTATATTACCTTCATTTCTAAGAATTACAACTGCATCCATGTTTGTTAAATGTTAACTACAACTGAAACTAAAATTAAAACCATAAAAAATGGTGTTTGTTAATTGAAATAAAATAAATGTTAACTGAAATAATGTAAAATACAATATATATATATATTGTATTTTTTGTTGTTGTGTAATGTAGAACTGCTTAGACACGGTTTGCAACATTTCTCACAGAATGACTCAAATGTTATATATATATTTCATCTAGTTGCCAAGGCAACATTTCTAATTTTAATTTAGTTTACCTTGATGTACTAAAATAACTAAAACTAACATTTGAAAAAATAAAATAAAATACAAATAATAAAAACACAGACATAAAAAAACTACTAAAATAACAAAAACAAAACAAAATTACTAAAACTTGATCTAAAATTAAAACGAAAAAAGAAAATCTAAAAAAAAAACTGATTCAAAATATGAATAAAAACTATGTATTTTTTGTTGTTGTGTAATGTAGAACTGCTTAGACACGGTTTGCAACATTTCTCACAGAATGACTCAAATGTGATTCATTACTTGAAAGCAGTCATTATAATCACAGTGATCTTAGGCACAGTGGTGCTTACATGTGAGCGTGATCTTTCACCGAAGGAGCGAAGGGAGATACTGCCATCCTGATCCAATGCTCTGCTCTTTCTGCCTGATTCTCCCAGCGGAAGCAACATATCCATGGAACGACTGGTGTACGGATCCATATAACTGAGCGGTGACGTATTTTGAGACAACAGGTCCTGAATCTGATAAACATTAGCAAGGTAAACCATTTTTATTGTTATATATGAATATCATACATTCGTTTTGGGCCTAAATGATGCTAAATTATGTCTATTACCTTGAGTTGGGAAAAGCGTTTGGATTTCGAAGGTGCTTCCTCATACGGTCGCTCAGCTATCGAGGCTATGATTCTTTTTCTGTGACCAAGAAGGCCAATTTTCAACACCTGAATAGGGAAAATTTGTCAATGCATCAGATCACAGTACAAACGTCACACAAAAGATCACACCAGCATGAAAAGCACATTTACATTAACAATTTCAAGCTCCCACAGGTTCTTCACGCAGTCCAGGGTGCGGTAGCCGCTAGACAGGAAGTTGTGCAGATACTCTCCAAGACCCAGAGTTTCCAGCCATGAGGACAGAGAGGTGCTGCCGTCACACCCCAGAGCTTTCACCTAAAGGAGGAGAAAAATGCTGTCTCAAAATAAATTGCATAGCATAGCATAGCATATATCATTCACTCTGAGAAACCAGGAGAGACATTTGGACACTTAAGTAACACTTAAAATGTCTGAATGTGGTGTGACAAAATATCTAACCAAGTGCAAACAAAATCTTTTTCAGAGCTAACGTCACTTTTCTGAGATATATTTGCAATGACTTTTAACCAACCAGTCCCAAGGTCATTTTAAGTGGAAGTGGATGAAATGTGTGCTTGAAAAGTGTGCTATACTTTTAAAAAGAAATGCCATAGTGTCCAAATACTATTTAGGGACTGAAACACACTACCTTTGGAAGGCTTTTTGCTGCATGAAGGATTTTTTTTCTGTGGCCTGGGTCGGTGATGCCAATTTCGTGAAGGTTCTCGTCTTCCATCACGTTACTCCCCTGAACGTATGCACATTGTCATTAGTTTCTGCTTTATTACGTTTACAAGAACAACCAAGTGTTGCATGATAGTGACAGCAGGGGTAGTTTGAGACAACAGTTTCAGGTACATCTAGTACTTGTGAACACCAGACACTTAGTCAGTGCCTTGCAGGAATATTCAAACCATTTATACATGTATAAACTATCTATCTATCTATCTATCTATCTATCTATCTATCTATCTATCTATCTATCTATCTATTAAAAATACTAAAATGCATATAAAATAACAAAAATACATTTGATTAAATAACTAATGAAAAATACATTACATTACATTTTTGGTGAAAGCTTGACACCTTAATACTATGAATCTACAGAATATGGCAACTTTAAATATTCCATCCATTTTCATCCAATTGACTTTATCTATTTATACACAATTATATTTTAGGTACTGTGACTGAAATTAAGTAACAATTTCTTTTTCATTATTTAATTGTTCAATTTTTATCACCTTTTAGCTGTTTTGCTTTGCAGTTCACTTAGATAGTCCTGCAATATTTTAAATTAAATGTTTTAAATGAACAAATATTCCATGTAGTCGTAGATCATAAAAATGCATCAATAGTTATACAACATATGTAGAAAAAATACTGTTTAAAATAATTTGATATAGCTTATAGCATGTCAAAATGAAAGACAATGCTTGAAATGGCATGTACCTTTCTAATCTGAAACACTGAAATAATACATTTATTTTGAAAATAAACTTTTAATGTGAAATTATTTTTGTTTCAATTATAAAAAAAGTGTGATTTTTTTTTCATTATAGAAATTAAATATCACAGAATTAAAAAAAAAACACATTATGCATTGAATCTATTTGAGGATACAAAAAGGTACTTTTTATTATATTTTCGGCCCTCATTTATTGGATATATAGAAACTCACCACATCCCCTGACCAACCTGCTGTGTCAATCAATCCCCACAGACAAAAGCCACTCACCATGTAACGCAGGTCATCGAAGCCATTGAGCACCAGTTTGCTCTCGTACTGAGGAAAGCCCACATGTTCCAGCCACTCCCCCACCGACTGCTCCAGCACGCGGCCCCCAGCTGCATCTGCCGACAAAGGATGGCGTTTGAGCAGCGAAAAACCGTTTAGCCTGTAGCAGCGGCACTCGGAGGCCGAGATGTGGCACTGCCACATCATCTTTGGCCAGCAGAGCTGAGGGCAGCAGCAGCAACAGCAAGGCAGTGTCCTGGCTTGAGCGACGGGCCTCCGCTAGATGCAGGGCCCCAGATATACAGACTAAACTAGTAATGGAGATTCCTCCACAAGCCCTCAGTGCAGTGGAGATGAGAGCCAAGGCTGATGGGGTATGGAGGTAGACCTTGACAGGTAGTCCTTTAAAGAAGAGTGTCAAGTAAAGGAGTCAATTAACTGGGACAATTTGGTGTTGCTCCTCAAGAAGAGGCAAACAAACAAAGCAACGTCTACACAGCTTTTCTGTATCTGATTCAAATGATCACGCAGAGGGATGTCAGCACTTTGCACAGACAGGATGATCATAAAAGATCAACAAGAGCTTTTGGCTTGCAGCAAAATATCGAGCTCTACAAGAAGCTACTAGGAAGTTGCAGGAAAGTGCACCCTGCTTTGCCCCTATGAAACAAACATTCCTCTACAATGCAAGGCTCGATAAAACAGACTTGTCCTTGAAATTGGAAGCAAAACCCTTTAGTAAAGCCCTAAGAACAGTTGGAGAGTAAGAATACCAATGTCAGTGAGTTTGCTTCAACAGAGTCATGGATCCTCAAACCAAGCAGCCCAACTCATTGATCAGCAGTCCACCACAATGCCACCAGAAGCCTTGTGTGATGCCAGCTCCTCCTTTGAAAGATCTTCATGACACATTTTCCCATTTCCCAGTTGTTGATGAGGAACCCCTCCCACCATTAGAAAGTAGCCGGTTTGACCACTTCCCCAAGCAGTCCGTAATCAAGTAGGGTTCTGGTCACGGTAATCCAATTACTCCTGGTCCTTCCGAGCTTAGACGCACCTCACCGAGCTAACATACCAGAATGGAATGCACCATTGAAACAAAATAAAACCAAGCCTTGATCCAGTGAGAACAACTGATAAGAAAACCCCGTTGATGGCTCGGTCCTGCTTCTTGCAGCCCTGCCCCCTTGAACTGGTCGCTCCGTTCTTCTAGAAAACGTTCCTAAGGGTCCTTCGGGCCCCGATCAGGCAGCGTTCTGGTCACGGTAATCCAAAGACCGCTGGTCTCTCCGAGCTTAGACGCACCTCGTCGGGCTAACATACCAGAACGGAGCACGCCATCAAAGCGAGGTACAGCCAAGCCTTGATCCAGCAGAAATAAGGTGAGCTCCAACAATGGATGGATAACCCCATAAGAAAGCCCTGTTGATGGCACGGCCCCTCTTGTTGCAGCCCAGCCCCCTGCTCTGGTCGCTCCGTTCCTCTTGCAGACGTTCCTAAGGGTCTTGCGCTCGGGGGCAAGGATTGCTGCATCCCTGATCCGGGAACGCTCAGTCACAGCAGCAGCTGCATTCAGCACTCACAAAGCAAAACATCCAAATGACATAGTGCTCCTCTAGAAAGCCGTTGGTAGCGCATCGGTTGCAGCTGGTAATCACCGTAAAGACATCTTCTTATGCATTCAGTTTAGCTGAGAATCATGTCCACTCACTGTTTTTGGCTTTCTTTCCTCTTTACTTGCTTTTTACCCCAGTTCTCATTGACAGAGTCCTTTCTGAGAGCTCTGCAGGGCTGCCATATGCCGTCTGATGCTGAGACCCGCTGCACGGCATATACGCTCTGCTCGTCCCCAAACCCCCTCCCTCCCGTCTTTATGCCTCTCTTTCTCTATCTGTCTCACATACATGCACTCTCTCTCTCTCTGTGGCGATCAATCCCCCCACCCCCTTTTCTCTGTCTCACTCTCTCTCTCTCTGCCCCTCTATCTATTCCCCGCTCCCTGTACTGATTAAAATTGCACGCAGGCTCTCTGATCTTGCTGGTGCAGAAAGGACACCATCAGAAAAAGGAACAAGAGACAAACCTAAACCACACACTACTGTGCCAGGATCAGTCAGGGGAGGAAGAACGAGGGAAAAAAACCCATACAGGTTCCTCTAACCCCGCAACCCCATCCCTATCCCCTCCACACGTCAGTGCTTCCAGAGCCTCTGCACTCTCTCTATGAAAAATTAAATTGTAGCCAAGCCACAAACCACAGTAAATCATCAGAGGAATTAAATTTGTGAATGTGTCACTGTACCGGTGGGGAGAGGGGGGGCTGGTTCTGGGGTTGGACGTTAAACATTAAGTCAGCGAAATGCACCGTGCACATGCTGCACTTAACGTAATCCCACCTGTGCCCACCTTCATATTGGACACATCCGAGTCCAAATTCCAGAATTCAGATTTTCCAGATGTAATCAAACTGTAGTGCTTGTGTCTCGTGTGCAGACGACGCCAACCACATCTTCCGTACCGTGATGTGGTCTAATTCAGTCTCACACATGAGTGCTGCTTCTACATGCATGTAGGGCATTATCTGCATGCAGCTGAGAGCAGGGGAATCATACAAACTGTCAGCCTGCCAGGGCGTTATTCACATACAGACACTGAATCAGGCTTGATATGTAAAGTGCATCCAAACATCTGCAGTCTCAAAACGACGCTCACTTCTGAAGGAGGTATAAGTATTGGGGTGCATTTTATGTTTTTATCCAAAACAACAAAAAACTAAGAAGAACACTAAGAATTATCCAACAATATTAGCAATGCCACCATACTGAATTTCAACATGGTTTCTCATGGATTTGGTACCATGTTTTTTTTTACATGTAACATAGTAGTACATATTAAATACACTAACATTAATTCATTAAGCAGACACCTTTATCCGACATGAGCAAAATGAGGAAAAACACCAGCAATTTAGCAAAAAGAAGCCAATAATTTTAGCAATGCCAACATTTTTGTTAACTTGTACCATGGCGCTACCAATAGCAGTACTTTGGTCTTATACATAAAAAACACTTTTGATGTACTATTCTTTGAAGCACCTTGGAGTAACATGTAAATGTCATGGTACATGATATAAGAAAGAACTCTGGCAGTACCATGGCACATCGATGGTATCAGAATGTAATATGGTAGTCTGAACTTTCACTTGTAAAGACATATGATATAGAGAGAGAGAGAGAGAGAGAGAGAGAGAGAGTAATAATATTAATATAAAAATTTATACAAAATGAAAAAATAAAAAAATAAATCATTATATATATATATATCATGTTTAATGTATTCTCTCTCGCGCACACACACACACTCATATATATACAGTGGGTACGGAAAGTATTCAGACCCCCTTAAAATTTTCACTCTTAACAATATTGCAGCCATTTGCTAAAATCATTCAAGTTCATTTTTTTTCCTCATTAATGTA